TCGCGTGTTCTAACTGCTGCACATCCCTCCAGCGTGGGCGGGAAGAAATCAATGAAAGTTTCTTGTGAATCCTCGTCAGAGGGATTGCGAATGTGACTGCCCTACAAAATGCCCTAGTGCTCGTTTCGCCGCATCGGATGTAAGGTACTGAAAGCCATATGATTTGACCGGGACCGAAAGGAAATATCTGTGACACAGGCTGGCGGCTGGGCTCGTGCGCCCAGTGACCTCTCATTCTCGGGTAGTGTATTTGGCGAGAGTCCGGTCTGTTAGATGTGCGCGCACGCACACATACACGCCCGCGCGCGCCACCAGCAAAGGCATGTATAAACGAGGGCCGTTGCTATTAGTTACGGCGATTGCGGGTACGGCCTGATCCACTCGAACTGTGCACTAACTAGAAGAAAGCTGTTAGACTCCACTTTACGGCAAAAATACAGCACACACACACACACAAAGTGCCAGCGGTAAGGTCTGTTCCAACCCGAGGGAGAGGGAAAGACAACAAAACGTACCTCCAGTAGGCGTAATCTCTTCGTGGGTTCCACCAGTGCCATATCCTGCACCTTCAAATCAGACAGAACCTGAGTAAAGTGCGCCTTCGCAGTCTTTAGATAGCGTTGCTTTTGTATGGTCTCCTCGTTTTTCATGCAGACCAGACGGCAGAGGTTGATGGCCTGTTTTCGTTCCTCCAACATCTCCGAGTAGAGTCGTTCCTGATCGGCTATCAGCTCCTGAATTTTGGCCTCGTCCGCTCCGGAGAGTTCCGTCTAGGCAGCAGTAGTAGCGACAGGGAGAAAATGATATTAGGTGAATAAGATTAAACTGTGGAAAAAAGAATAAGAGCATTTTTGAATAGTAATAATAATAATAATAGTGATAGTTGCACTCGTTGATGAACGTTCGCCGACCGCTAACGGAACTTAATTATCGCGTTCTGCATTGGGTCTCATTATCGGTCCCTGATACAAGCCATAGTAGCTAGTAATTATAGGCAGATAGTGTTATCGACAAAGACACGGGAGACTGGAATGACCATTTTTGGCTCATTAGCCGTCGTTAGTCAGTCATACCGAATCCCAAGTGGTGCACCAACCGAGGCTCAAACCTGCGACCTCTTTGATCAAAGTTTAATGGTCTGACCATTGGGCCACGAGGTCGTTGTCTTGCCGGTATAGGTCGGGATATTGACATTCCTTGTGAATTTTCACCGATCGCTTATCGAACTCAATTGTCCCGTCGTCCTTGTGCACTATCGCAAGTGGCTCACCACGCCCACGAGACGGGTCACGACGCTTTAACTTCGCAGCCACGAAGTCAATCGCTCAAACCAGAAGCGAGGAAAGCCGAGAATTGATTTAAGGCTGGGCCTCGGATGAGAACTCAATCAATCGATTTATCGATCTGGTGCCGGTATACATCGCCCTGCGCAGGCATCTCCGAACTGACGTCAGTGATGGCTGATTGACCCCTGTCCCCTATGAGTATTGCTTGTTTTTCGTCGATGCTTTTACCTCTGGTTGACGTACCTTCTTCTTCTTTACCTATCCCTATTCTTATGTCCTGGTTGCGGAACCATATAGACGATTCCGATCTTTTTTGAGTTTTCTTGGATTAATTCTCAGGTACATTCCAATTTCTTCGTCCAGTTTCACCACTTTCTCCACCAATACTCCCTGAGCGTAACACATAAAGGCACACATCGCAACAGCTACTCTTCATCATGAAGCGTCAACTCTCCCAGGTGCAGCTGCAAGACTGATTATTTTTACTCACCTCCGCGCCTAACCGCATTGTCAGCTGGGCGATGTCTCTAGAGAGCTGGCTGCGCACTTTTAGGTTGCCCGTGTCCTGACTGGCTTTTTTCAACTCCATTTCCTGTTTGAGGGAGGCCTGCGTCTTCACGAGGAAGTTCACCATGTCCTGCAGGATCTTAAGGTTATTGGTCGCCTGTCGCACCAACCGCAGCTCTCTGTCTCGTTCCTTGGTCTGCTTTGCACTCTGTTCTAGGATGTGGTTCTTGTCTTGTTGAAGATGTTGAATGTCCATTTCCATCTTTGACCTGAGCAGAGTAAGCAAGGCATATGCATTAAGAGTAGGTGAAGTAAGACAAGGAAGCATATAAACAGAAAATACTGCTTGGGCATCTACACATCCACGGAGCAGGATACTTACTTAGCAAGTTCGAATCATGTGAACAGACGTCACTGTCTGCGGAAGAAAGAACTCAACGGTGAGACGGTTTACGTAGAGGGTGTAGCGTCTAAGAAGTGATTGTGCTTAGAGCGTTACAATCGTCAGTTAGAAGCTTAGATTGTAGGTAAGAGGCAGAAGGCAACAAAACGAGGCTTTCATTGTGCACAGAACCCAAGATTGCTGTCTCAGGCAGCAGTGTAGGGGCTCCTGCTGCGTTTTCTGGGGGTGGCATGTTCAAGTGGCCATCGGGAACCTCCAACTCGTTGGGCACGTGTGTGTGCACACATATGTGCGCACGTGTGTGTGCGAGTAGAATTAAGTCAAGGGTTTTTAGGTCATCAAGCCGCAAACAGCCGCATAGCTTTGGGACAGCGGACCTTGAAGGGAAGAGCATTGTTGGCTGTTCATCAGAGCTCCCCGCCAGTCACAGAACGAAGTGAATCTATCGATCCTGAGGGAACGATTAAATGAAGGAGATGAACCGGTGCACACGCAAGTTGAAGAGCGTGTGTCGTGTGTGACAGTAACTGCTCATGCTGGAAGTCATTATGATGCTTGCGACCTGTACTGAGATGTATTTGGTGCATCAGCCGCAGAAGGTGCTGTCTTTAACTCGACAAAGTGTGGCATTGAGTGGGCACGTTGGTAGGAGAAAAGGACATTTTGGACACAAGGTATCTCAGTGAGGGCTAAGTTGGACGAATGTGTCAGTGAAATAGGCTGACCGTCAACCAGACACAAAATTGAGATGGAGTAGAGTATCGGAAGTCTAAAAATTCATCGATGTATGTGCTTTATCATGATGTGTGCATGAAAATAACTCACAGATGATGGTTCGTTGGTAATGGGCTGCAGAACGCCTCGTAAACAGGAGACGTATTATGTGATAGCAACCCATTTGGATGAATGCCCCAAATAAACTGATTGGGGTTCGACCTGCAGTTTTAAGGCTGAGTTTTGGTGCAAATGTCAATCTCGACTCGCGACAGGGTCTGGGCAACAGTGTTCTCCCATTCATGGACAAGATAAGTAACGGAGGCAAACAATACGGCGGAGTCGGGTTGAATTTCTTGAAGAAGTCGTCAGCCAGATCAGAAGTAGGTGACTGTTTGGATCATGTCGGGATCAGCAGTTTGTAGTGGTCGAAGTACAACCACTGTTTGGTCCTCACAAACTGCACTGCAAATGCTCTATTCCAGCCGCATGCTCACTAGTTTACAGTGATAATACGCATTCATGATGACTGCAGATGAACATAGATGCAGCGCGTAACAAGGGCGAGTTCGTGTCTACAGGTGCCACACATATACGCTTCCCTTTATTAGCGTGAAATCGACCGCTAAGGAGACTATCAGATATTACCTCGAACGAAATCGCCATTCAGGTAACACTGAAAAGAAACCAACATAAATTACCCTCAATTTACAGAGCCTCGATTCCGATTTATAGATGCCTCAGATCCTGGCTGGATTGGCTCCTCTTGCTTCTTCAGAGTCTACCATGCCACCGTGCCAGGTCCCATTCAAGATCGCGGATTATGGCGAGATTAGGCGCATTGACTGAAGAAGCGCAGACGCCTAGTCTAACGTAAGCACCAGACAGAGCTAAGCGCTCGACACTTCACCTAGCCTGTTAGTATGGTAAGTGACAACGTCAATTCTCCAGTTTGTCAAACGTGCCCGCTTGTTTGTGTATGAGGTGTGAGTGGCGGTTTGAGGACTTCTATCGTGTTTGTACATTTTGTCCAACGGAAAAATATGATTACTGGTGAAGCTTACAAATTACGCGGGCCCTGATTTTGAGTGGAACATACTTAAGCAGAATCAGTGTCAGTTTCTCTCCTCCCCTGCCGTACCCGCAAATTAATCGTGGGTGGGGGTGTGTTAAATGAATACTTTGAAAGCACCAATGAGGTTTTGCGACATGGATTGGTAAATATGGAAAGGAGAATCCCCCACACGTACAGGCGAGTCTCTGTTAAAGAATAGGAGGAGGGTAAATTTTCCTTGTTCTACAGTGTGGCGAGTGCTGCAAGCAACATTCCGCAATTTGGTAACAGAAGTTCTTTGGGAAAGGAGTGCTTTAATGTGTGAATTTTCGACTCTGGTT